TATATATATATATAAATTATATAAATTGTTTGAATATACAGTTTATGTCAAACAGTTCAGACCCAGCCTGTGAATGTTCATGCTAAGCTTTCAGGCTCAGACACTGAAAAAAAGAACAATGGAGAACATTTTTATTTCCACAGTTCTCCGAAATAATGTTGTCATTAGTGTTCAATGTTAACATCTAAGTTTCCAAAAAAAAAAAAAAAAAGGAAAAACTGGAAATGGAAGGCAAAATGTCACTTGTTTCAAATGCAAACCAGCATGTTTAAAACATCTTTTCGGATCAAGTGATATTATGTTGAAACTAGAACCTGCTGCTGAAAAAATGCTGTCACTTGTTTCCAGTCTCCAAAAAAGTGAAACTACATTTGAAACAAGTCAAGTGATGTCACCCTAATGGCAGATTTCTTTTCTCTTGTTGTTTTGAGGCTCGTGAGGACTCTGATGCTGAGCGACACTTCTGGATCCTTCATCTTCAGCAGAACCAGACTCTCCGCTGGTCGGGATGAAGAGCTATAGGCTTCAACAGGCAGCAGACTACTGGCCAACATCTCCAGGCTTCTTTGATGTGGGAGGCATTGCTTACCCCTATAACTTACAGCCCAGCTCTGCAGGGACTTATTTTTATAACCTCCATTATTTTCTATCATAAATATTCAAATCCAGATCTTAAATCCAGAGCTTAGTGAGGAGAATAGCCAAAAACAACATGCAGCTCTTCAGCTTCCCCTAGCTCTCGCTCTTCTATAGAAAATCATTATGAAGATTAATACAGAAATCAAACAGAATGCTGAGACGAGACTGCAGGACGCAGTAAAATAATGCACTCGAGATGGAATTTTTGGTCAAGGATCTCTGGCTTTTTTGTTCTTTGTTTGTTTGAGTATTTTGACACATTCTGCATTTCCTCCTTGTGGCTGTGAATTAATATTTTCAGCTTGAATATTAATCCTGATTCAGTAGTGGATTAGTTTGCCATTGTCCCCTCTGTGCTGAGCCCTAAATAAAGGCGCTGACATGGAGAGGAAATCTATACCTCTCTGCCCTGCAAACAAAGACCTCTGCACCCAGAGATAACACATGTCCCTGCAATGCAGACCCCCCTGCCTCCAACCACAACTCTACCCATGTGCTGGATCCTACCATCTCCCTCTCACTTTTCTTTCTCCTTCAACCCTCAATTCCACATTTCCCCTTCCTCTCACCACTCTCTTCCTCCCCGTCTCTTTCTCTCTCCCCCAGAAAAACTTTGCCATGGTAGATTTGCAAGGCAATTGTGCCCTTAAACCGCGCCTCTTCCTCAGCTTATACCATGCATTTTCCAGAATTTATCAAAGAATACAATGGGGTTATGCTTTCACCATTATTCTCCAGGCAAGAACAGTAATTTAAATGCACCAGTACTACTGAAGCAGGGCGCAGCCCTGCTGTCTCACTATGGAACAGAGAGAGATGAAAATGCGTTACAAAAAACGCACAGCATTACTTTGTTGACCTTTCCTGTTCTCATAGTTTACAAACAGCTGTGAAGCTCCTTCCTCTGGGCTCTTTGTACATCAGAGACTGGGACTGATGGAGGCACGCCATGCTTAAATGAAGGGCTTTTTCTAACTTGCCTCCGTTGTGGCTCACAAACACAATTTAACAAACACACATTTACTTTATTTTTGCCACCAAAGCAGTTGCCAAAGCGAAGGAGGAAATACATGCTGAAACAGATATTGCGTCCTTTTATGTATGTATACTGTGCATATCATAGCAGACAGTCTATTTAAAAACAAAAGGAAAAAAATCTAAACATACATAGATCTCAAAACACCCACCCACACATATTACGATTTATTTTCCCATCCGTTGCAGTCTCATCAGTGGGCAATTTTTAACCAGCGTTCCATTTTTACGGCGAACACAACTAAAGCTGTACTGTTATTTTTTGATGCCACTAAATGTGTGCGCCACAGTTCATCTCAGACTTTGAATGAGCTCCAATACACTGTCCTCAATGACACTAATCAGCATGTAACTGCCAGTTCATAGGATGAGATGTATTGTGCACAGACACGTGTGTTTTATCATGCTATCGTGAAAGCAAACGGGAGCGTCGAGTACCGTGTTTCAAACGGTGATTCTACACATGTGCCCTGAGGCTGAATGCCAGGTGAATATTAACAGCAAGCTGCGTGAGGGGTAGAAGATGCATAGGACGCAGGATCACAAGGACACAAAGTTAGAGATGGAAAAAAAGGAAGAAGGAAGAAAAACAACAGAAGGATTGAGGTGGATGAGAAGTGAGGGGAACATAAAGGGAGCAATAATAAAGGAAAGTGGGACTGAAAACAGTAAAATATAACAAGAGGAGAAAAACGTGGACGACTGCAACAGACAGCTGGACATGGACCGGGCCGGTCTGCAGACCTGGTCAGACTGATGAGAACAGGCAGCAATAGTGATGCCATTATGTCGTTAATCAATCCACTGGTGTCTGCTTGTCTGGGTGGGCAGATACTCACAGTCTAGAAGGGGTTAATGGGAAATCAATGAGAGGGATGTGCTTATGAGCAGGACAAGGGGAAAGAGGGACAGGGGGTAGAGGCAGAAAGGCGGGGAGGGGGAGATAGGAACATTGTTTCCTGTGATAGCAGCAGTCTTCCCAGATGTTATCTGTCATTCAAAGAAACACTCTGGTGACCAGATGTTTAGGCTCATCGTGGTGGAGTGGGTACACATCCTAGTGGGGGATCAATATAGGTCAAGTACATGGTAATATTTATCACTACGCTGCACACACACAAGGCGCTGATGTCTCTACAACACAGAGACTTGTGCTGTGAAGAAAACTATGCACTTGGAATAAAATAAAATAAAATAGAAAAGCACAGCCTTCTGATATGTTTATTTTTTTCAAGAGGCTATTTACTGTATCTGGTGTTTTTTCATTAATATGGAGCTTAGGTTTGACCTGGATCAGCAATATCTCTTTCCTACGTCCATTAAAAGAAACAAAGGGAGGCGTTGATTTGGACGGAAAGGTAAAATAAATACAGCAAACATCAGCCAGGGTAGATCTCCAAAGGCCTGGAGGCATTTGGGGTGGTGGGTGGAGAGTTGGAAAGGGGGAACCCAGAGCAGGTCCCAGTGCAGTGAGGCTCTTTGTAGTTTGAGCAGTCTGAACTAGCCAGAGGCTTACTGCTCTAACCCATACCACTCAGAGAGACTGTTTGGGGGAATTACACCACAGAGTAATAATTAATCAAGTAAATGCTGAACTGCTTTGATTTGGATTACATTAACATATTATCAATAATGTATTAATCAAGTACAAATAAACACCTCTGCATAATAGCATACTTAAGTAACTACGCTTCCACGCTTAACTCAAAAAGTTTGGTGTTGTTTAAGCAATGAGGAAAACCACAGCAAACTACAGTGGAAGCAGCAGAGTCTCGCGGCTTTGGAAGCAACACCTCTTGGCACTTAACTGTCTTTGTTCATCAGCTTCCTTTTTCATCAGCGCATCAGCCATTTTCAAGAACTTTTACCAAGAGGTGAAAGAAAAATTATGAATTCATTTATTTACTCTTAACAATGTCAGAAGGCATCACGGGGAATAAATAAACACTGATGAAGCACTGAAAACACAATACACGTAATTTGTGCAAAGCTACTCCAGGTTTGATTCCAAAAGTAGCTGAGTGGATTGAGGAGAGAAAAAAAGCAAAGAAAAAACTTAGTCACTTTTATCATATGCAGAGGAGTCGAATCAGCTCTGCTTTTGTATTTTCACTTAAATACATGTTCTGTTTTTCCCAGATAAGTTGTGTTGTTTAAAAGCATCCGTTCTCGCCTAACGCTTTGTTCATTGGGGGAACTTCATGCCCAGGGATTTTCTAAACACAATTCATCAAAGTGGAACGGCAGTCTTTTTTTCTGCATTCCTAATCCTTTTTGCTGCAGATGAGAGATTTGCTGTTCAGACTCATTAAGATTAAAGCGTTTTGCCAGAGTTATTTAAGAATGCAAAGTTCCATGTGAGACCTCTCAGAGTTCAGAACAGAAGAAAATCCTATTGACACGCTCGGTGCACTGGGGGCTGATCTTAGCCTATATTTCTATATTTGGTGTCAGTGATTGAGTGATAGCATGTGAAACAGTTTCCCCCGCTGCATTTGTGCTTTAGAGTTACAATCACTTTTCCGTTCTTACAATTAAAAGGTAACGGGTGAGCCCCTTTTTCTTCACTTGTAAAATTCATTTGGCTGCTTATGCACCTATAAAAACATGTGACTATACCATCTGGTTTTAATACGAATGTGTAGTTTATTGGCTTTGATAACTAAATATAAACTGGCAGACAAATTAGTTGTTTTGCGGTTAAGGGAAACAATACATTATGGTCATAGGCTGTAAATGTGCAGTTAACTAGGCAGTATTTAGCTTTCTGGTGTTATTTTGGCAGCAGAGTTTGGCTGGGGTGAAATTATCAGTCATCTGGTTGGACAGACAACAGTTAACGTTTAGCTGGAGGTGATGGCAGTCTTTTAGCTGAAAAAGAAATTATCATTGGATCGGACTGAGTGTTAGTCTTCTGCCTAAGGATTTTTAATATTAGCCTTTTTGGCCAGAGTCTCAGTAGTCTCTTGGCTGTGCTCTGAAGCTCCTTTCCCAAACTTTCCAACTCCAAGTGTCGCAATCTGGTTCCATTTTACAGCTGGCCTTGAGATTGTAACAGAGCTCCTTTCTCTCCCTCCTCAACCACATATTTAATCCCTGTGCTTATGTCAAACTTAATTACAGGACCTTGTACGAAAAAATAACAAGTGAGCCTTGTAGGGGTGAGAGAGAGAGAAAAGAAGAGTATTAAGAGAGGGATAGAAAAAGAGACACGGGGAGAATGTTAAGAGGTGTGAGGAGGAAAAAGGAACAACAAAGACATTTAATCTGTAGACTCAGCATGCTAAATGACCAAACAAAAAGCTTTGATCTCAAGTACCTCTTTTTAGTTGATGCTGGAACAGGCCCAATCTAAGTCAGCACAGGCATTTAATTCATGAGCTCTCAGTGGCCTAAAACACCCCCACCCCCCCAAAAAAACACTATGTGAACTAGCACAGCGCAAGCATAGTATCTGCTTTGCATCTACTGTATACATCTATAATGGATAACTGCTTTTCAAAGACGCACAGGCTGTAATGATAAGAAAGTGACCCGCGAGCGCCCACATTCATATCCTTTCAGTGAAAATCCAGCAAATTCTCCAGAAACCCCCCAAATCAAAAAAAAAAGAAAAAAAATCATTAGACTGAGACAGTCATTCAGCTCGTGCACGTGTGCGTTTGTGCACCTAAAACTATTTACTCTGTAGAAGTGGAACAGCTGGGGAGAGAGATGTTTAGTCTGTCAGTTTAAAACTATTACCTCAAACTCTGAAAATATGAGCTGAGCCTGTCGTGCATCGACACAGGGAGACAGCACTGTGAAGAACAAACCTTTGAAAAGTCTAAATCAATTTTTGGGGGAGTAACATAACAAACGCTTCAGCGCAGTGAAGAAAAGGGGATCTCTTTTTTTTAACAGTTTGAAAAGCACATATTCATACAATCTTCATAAGGCAAAACAGCATAAATGCAGTATACATGAAGCCTTTTGAAAAGGAAGATGACAGTGCAGCAGAAAGGGAAGAGACACAGGGATACTCCTCAGAGATGCAGACAAAACAAACAGGAAGACCATCACTGCTACATACAGAGCTCCATACTGTTTCCCTACACCGTTCACACTCAACACACCTCACCACCCATCTACCCACCCGTCCACCCTTCGGGGCAGCCTACTGACTAAAGCCTTCCCAGACTGGACTTGAGTGGTCAAGCAATGGGCTACAGGAGGGAGAGTTTCCCATGCCACTGGTGCTGGAACTGGCGCGCCACCCGGAGGTATTTATAGCAGGCCAGCACTAAAGGGCCGGGAGAGAGGGCATGCTTGTTTTCCTTTCCATTCCCCAGGCACTTTCACCAGGCCTCACATGTGGGTGTTAAATATATATCCAAATACTGGGAGCAGCATTGTGGGGGCAGAGAACAGAAGGTAGTGGGCTCCATTGGAATTGGAGGGAGTTGGGGGTGGAGGGGTGCAGTGAGAGATGGAGAACTGAGAGAGAAGGATTGGGAAAACAAGTCTGATTTGTGGGGAAAGAAAGAAAGAAAGAAAGAAAGAAAGAAAGAAAGAAAGAAAGAAAGAAAGAAAGAAAGAAAGAAAGAAAGAAAGAAAGAAAGAAAGAAAGAAAGAAATTGGCTTTTGATGTAGTGAAATTGCAAAATGTGAACAAAAGAAAGGAAGACGAATAAGTTTGTGTGGGCTTCCAAACTCAAATGGGCCTTAGACACACAAGTAGGCTCACTGCCAGCTCCAGGATGCAGTCTACACCCAGACCAGGATCAGTAGTGGCTGAACTCAACACAGATTATATGTAGACTCCACAGCGGGGGGGATAGTGCAGACAAAATAAAGGGACATTTGCAGGGAGGTGGAGTGGTCCTCTTGTTGTGGCTTCCTTAACTTCAAACAATATCTGGCTGCATCCACTATAGTGGAAATACACATCAGAGTATGTATACATACTCTGATGTGTGTCTCTTTCTATCGCTCTCTCTCTCTCTCCTTCTGCATGGGAATTCCAGAGTGACATTATTACTATGATGAAAACAGACCCCATAAATACGGAGCACTATGATGAATATAACAGCGATTATGGGGGCAGCGATAATTAGATCAGGAAAGAAAAACTCATTGAAGTTTTCTCTGTTTTTGTGTTTGGGAATTCCTTTCAACCTTGTGTCTTAATGTATGAGGAATTACAGAGCCAACGGTAGCGGGGTAATCATGTGGGTCTCTATGAGGGCCTCTTGGGGCCTCTTCAGTGATCCTCTCTCCTGTTTTAGCTCTCTGCTCCCACTCACATCTCGGTAAAAGCCACCCTGCTGTCTGCTTTTTTAATGATGGTTTGGCCAACAAACAATTAATAGGCTGCCCCACAGATGCTGTTAAAAATGAAATAGCAGGAGCGCTCCCAAAAGAGCCCATCCAGCAACTGCTGCTATCTTTCCATCCAGGTTTACTCATCAGGTTTTAACCTCTTCAGCAGCTCTCTCTCACCTACACAGTCTCAGCTTAGATCTTTAAGCCCTAAGACTACAGCTTTAAAAACACCCTGACCTGAGCCTCTGTCCAAATCCCAAATGTACAGCAGCCATCCCACTAGCTGACTGCGTCAGAAAGATTCCACCATAGCCTCTGTTTTTTCATACTTGTGGGAAAATAGCAGTTCATGTTTCCTTGGATGCTTCACACATTCCTCACCCTGTCTTCACATTGCAGGGCCCCAGAGTAAGGGTATGGCCAGAGCCACTCGAGAGGAGGTGCTTGGCAAATAAGAGGTGTGGCTAAATGAAAATGGAAGGGAATTTTTTTGTGTTTATTTAGGAGGGAGTTGCTAGGCGATGGGAACTCAAATAGGCACTAATTACATTTCCCTGAGTTTGATGAGTATAACAGAACTTGGACAGGAACTTTGGAGCTCATTTAACTTCTCAGAACACAGCTGGGAATTATAGATAACAGAACATCTGGAAGTCACAAAAATACTTCTCTAGCGTCTAATCCAGACTAATTCAAAAGCTGCCACATCCTGCACTGAACGACAACCCAAAGCCAACTCAGTGACAGTTCCAATATTACAACTTTTGTAGTAAAAAACATAGACATCTATGAATGACGTTTGAGTAATTTGGGCAAAGGTTCATGCTTTCTAGACCATACAGCAGCCTCTCCTTAAAATTGAGCGTTACACTGAAAGGTCACGGAAAAGTACCTCAAAGCACCGACAGTTTACATGAACTCACACACAGACTGTTGCACTATGCAGTAACACTCTGTGCTGCAAGTTCACATATTTGGCGCAAGTATCAAAAACACGACTACTTAAGTCCCGTAATGAAGCTGCAAAAAACACAGCCAAAACACACAAAGCCACTGAGAGATGCGCACAAAGAATACTCTACTTGGCCACATTCGGGATTGGTCTCATCCCAAATTCCTGACCTCAAAATTTCAAGACAAAGGTAGCTGGTCTTGATTTATGCATGCTTCAACACAGAATGGAGAGAACAGGACATAGTAGGGAAGAAATTAATTTTGATCCTGAAAACATTATTAATGGTAATGTTTAAAACATCAAAGCCCTGGCTGACAGAGACACAGCATCTTCACTCTGACAAGCTGGAACAGATGAGCTCACTTGAGTCAGTCAAGGTGAGGCACGGGGGAAAATGTAATTTGTCTCTCAGTTGATTTTCATTGAGATTTTGTGGCGAGTATGTGGTTCAGAATAGGTCAAAATCGTGTAGCTTGAATATGTTCTGTGGAAGGACTGACCGTGATATAAAGGACAGTACCTTCCTCTCTGCCATTAGCTTGTGTGTTTGTCTTTGTGCTATTAGTTGGCAATGGATACTCAGGAGCTGGTAGTTTCCTTTTAGACCAGCTGACTAAACCCACCCCATGCAGACCACCAGCTAGAACATATGAATCTCAAGTTCATAATGACTGACTGAGCCAGAGAAGAGACCATCCTCTTTCTGTGTGGACTTCTCACTTTAGCTTTGGGCAAAGGGATAAAGCTTCTCTTACTCCCACATGTTCATTTACCCCCCACCATCACACCAATTGAACCAGCGAGTCTGGGGGTAGTCACATTGATATTCAACGCGCATCTCCATCCCCCAGCCACAGCCATCCCCACTGGAAACATTATTTCATTACATGTATTATGCATTCAGCATAAGAGAGCTGGTGAATGTGCAGTGTGCAGATGCTTGTGTGTGGGTGCGGGCAGGCTCGGATGTTTCCCTCTATGTATACATGGTTGTGACATGCCTGTTGTAAAAAGAGTTTTAAAGAGGGTGTAAAAAGTTATAATGCCTCAGGGATGCAGCATTAATGGTACTTGGTTTACTTTGTGAGCACCAAGACAAAATATTTATTCCATACTATTTGTGTCAACATTAGAAAAAGTGATTTTGCAAGTTTTACAGTGTAGCGGGACAAAGTTCCCCGCAGAGACAGAATGAGTTTCCTCAGTTCATCTGAGTATGTGCACCCACATGTGAATGTATACTGTGCCTCATGCAGAGAAGGCGATAAAGAGATAGACAGAGAGAGCTGAGTGAAACAGGGGAAAGAGACCAGAAAGAGATGAAGATAGAGAGACAGACAGACAGATCTTTCATATGGCCCACTGCTCTTTGGGCCCTGATCCAGATGTCACCAGAACAGTTTTTATTTGTTAATGTCTTGTTTTAAAAGCCCCCTTAAAAGCGCCTGCCGCTTTCCCCTCAAGTCTTTAAGTGGCTCGACACAGTACACTCTTGTCTGATCCTAACTGGAATCAATTTGGAAAGAAACCATTTCACCTCTGATTAAGCACTGCTCTGTCTCTGCTGTGGCATGCTGACCTTTCCAGAGGTCTGTCTTATGCTGCTAGGAGGAGCCAACCAGATGATGTGCTAGGCTAATTAGACTGATTGACGTCAGCAGGCCTGGCATGAAAGTGGTTTGTATTTGAACCTTCGGCCATTTGTCAGGACTCACAGTCGCATCTCTGTCATGGGCTCTCAGTGTCACAAGTCCGATTCAACAGCTAATTTCATTTGTATAGTGCACTACTGTACACCCAGTCACTCTTTCTAAATCTCCCGTCACGTTTTTCCCTTTAATTTTCATACATGAATAATCCTTTTTGTCTGACACGAGAGGCAGTCAAAAGAGCGACACCTGCCTGTTCTCTTGTGATATAGTGAGCCTAGTGTTCCTGCCCCCCGTGTATGTTAAGCAAAACTTTAACTATGTTCAGTTTAGGGTCAAATATAGACTCACACCAGGCCAGTAGGGCACCCATAAGCAACTGTGCCAAATTCCTTTTTGATTTCAGTGTCTTGGATGCGGCTGCCCTCGCACACAGCCTCTCTGTGTGACCCATGTAATCGTCAAGCATTTCTCATCAATTCATCCCTCTCGCTCTTTTCTAAACTCCTGCTATGAAGCTGCAGTCCTGGCAGTGTAGTGCAGGTTGAACATCTGTGTGTATCACGGCCTTGTGTAACACATAAAACATGGAAGTCCCAAGAGCTATAAAATCTTGCAAACCCACAACGCTTTGAGAAGAGAGTTCAGAGGCAAGAAGTCCACCAGAGACCGGCCCTCAGTCCAAATTCCAAGCACTTTGCCTCATACACCCTGAGAAACGTTGCCTAAAGAGAGGCCTGGTAGAGAGAAACCTCACCTCCAGTTCAAGCGGATTCCTCTGCCCTTTTATTTGCTCTCGTTTGGCTGCAGGGGGAACGTGCTCCACTCTGACCTGGGGGCACTCATCCAATCAGCTCGCTATCTGCTGCAAGGGCCTCCATAATAGTGACATTTTTCCACCTCGTCAATAAAGTGGTGAAAGCCACCCTCCACCCGCTACTTGACCATTTAACTTCTTCCTGAAAAGGCCCTTTCTTTCTGTCTGTCTCTGTGCCTGGCTGAAATCAATAAAAGCAGAGCAAGGAAAGAGGCCAATCCAGCAGCTGCATTAACTGGTGGTCTCAACGGCTGTACAAAGAGGATGGCTGGCAGAGAAAAGGAAACAGGAGAGCGGGCAGCTCAAGTCTTTCTCATTCATACAACACTGAGAGAAATCTGCTTATTACCAACACTCGGCGTTGTCGTCTGGTATGAACAAGGAGATTCTGAGAATGATGAATGAAAAAAATTCACTGCTACGCCATCCCACACGCACACCCTAAAAGTCATAAAACTGAATAAAAACTGAAAACCTGCATTTATTCACACAGACTGAAAGGTGACAATCATATGCAACAAAATTGACATATATATTAACACATATATAAACTCTGTAGTCTCTAATGATCATTGCTTGCCATGGCTCATTTAGTAGCTGCATTCACACATCACCACATGTCTGCAGTGATTGACATAATGGCATCAGAGTGAGAACAAAATGTCTTCCAATAAAGGAGCAGGAGGGAGAAAATGAGAGAGATGGGTTACATCTATGCCCGTGCTGAAATGAGTGCAGTGCTTTGTTTGGTTATGCTGTCTGAGCTGAAATTGATTTCTGTGAGAAGCATGCACCAAAGAGCCCCTGCATTCAGATGAAATAAATAACACACTCTCGTAGAGATGGGAGGGTATGTGGAAGAAGGAACAGAAGGTGAAAAATGGGATAGCGGAGGAGGGAAGAAACAAAGATGGATGAGGTCAAAATGAATTTACAGTAAAAGGGGGTAAAAGAAAGAAAGAAAGAAAGAAAGAAAGAAAGAAAGAAAGAAAGAAAGAAAGAAAGAGCTGAGATAAAAATGAAGGGAATGTCTAAAGGTGGTGGACTGAATGCCATGTCTTAAGTCTAGCACAGCATTGAAAAAGACACAGCCTGGAAGACATCTGGAGCGGAGGATATCAGCCACACACCACTCTCCGACCACAGACAACATGATGAGGGATTAAACTTCATTACAACATGTTATGGTAATGAATGGGCTGTGGCTAGTTGTGGATGTGTTAAGAGTAATTATCCTTCTCCAGCATATGTGTGAGTGACACTTGATTGCGAACGCCATGTGTCTGTATGTGCATGTGTGCTCATCATAATCACGGGAATCCATGGTTAGTCAACTGGATATGGCCTAAAATATCCAAGAGGTCTTTTCCACATTGAACCAAACAGAAGCGAGCTAATTAAAATGCAATGCGGCAAGAATAATCTCTCACAATTAGTTTTAACACCATTCCTCACCAGAAGATGAGCTTGGGCAGGCCCAGGCATTGTGGTCTGGGCCAGCGTTTGGGTATCTGGGTCCAGGGTTATTGCCAGAGAGGGAGGGGGACAGACAAAGCCGCACAACCCAGAGATGTGAGGTTGAATCTCGGTCACTTCGACTGCCTGTTCTTATGGCTGACAGATGTTAGTCTGATTCAACAAGATTTGCGACTCTGGAAAAAGTTACACCGCACTTTGCTCCCCGCTGCAAATTTTATTCTCTGTGCAATGAAACATCTCATACATCATCATTTAACAAGACATAAGCAAAAGCCCCTCCCTGGATTACAAAGTCACTGATAAACTTTGCCACTTGAATCTACGGTTGCAATGCGCTGAAGTATTTAAGTGTTTGAGCTGGCCGGTCTAACAGTATAGTGTTCCCTAGTTGAGTGACAGCGTGCTTTTAAATGCAAAAACACAGAAGCCTGCTATTGTTGACGTACCGCTGCTAATGTTGCTAAAGATCGACAAGGACTGGAAAACTCTTTTATTTATCAAAGTGTGAGAGTCTGGAGGGAATCAAAGGGGAAGTCCTGTCCCCAGGCTGGCTTACATCATCCTCTTCACAGTAGAAGAGGGACATGCTGTGAATAGGTGTTCCCCACATCGGCAACCTATTAGTTCCTCGTGTTTACTAATATTTGGAGTTGTGGCGTTGTAAGTGTTTTGTTCTGCGTAAGGGAAACAGACACAAGGCTTCTGTGTTGGCATATTTCCCAGAGTGGGCATGTGGACATGCAGACAAGCAGGGTGGTATTAAATAGAAAGAGTCTTTTCCCCAGGGAGGATGGAAGAGTGAGATGACAGTGGATCATTAGACTGGTGTTGCCTGCAGCTTGCTAATTTATGCAAATTAATTTCTTTGCTGATGCCAATGCTTCCCAAGCAGTCGACATCAAAAGCCGAACGGGTTAAACAGCTCTACTCTCCTTTGGTGGTCTGGGACGTTTAGCAGCATAAGCTAGGGAAGGCTGTGTTATACCAGGCAACAATCACACAAATGCACACTATGCCAGCCTTCTTCCTGGCAAGGCATCGGACAGACAGCCAATCAGGTCCACGCTGGTTCTCTTGTAGACGAATGGCATGGCACGCTGGCCCTCTTGTCGCCCCGCCTACCCTCCCCGCTGCACCGCAGCTGCCCAGAATGATTTTATAAACATTTTGCCAGTGGATCAATACCTGTATTGATCAACCATTGTGAGAGTGATCCGTCTAAAACCCAGAGCAGCCTAGAGCTCAGAGATGGGAGGAGCGAAAGAGAGAGGCTGCAGAGAGGATGGAGAAAGAGAGAGAGTCTGCAGCCACAGTGAAAGGGAGAAGAGGTGCAAGGGAAGAGAAGGGAATCTGAGAGAGAAGCAGATGCAGAGCTGAAGGCAGGTGGAAGGAAGATTTCGGAAAACGCTGCCAGGCCGCTGGGATTGGGGAGAAACCAATGGTAATTGCTTTCTCATTAAGGGAAGGGAGGGATAAGGGCGACTAATGACTACTGCGGGTAAGTGACGGAAGGGTAGAAATAGTGTGAAGAAATGTGTACATGTATGGACGAAAGGGGGTGACTCCAACACCCGAGGTGGCTAATGTCTGCACTAGTTTGGCCTGCTGTAGTATGTAGCACTTTAAGGTTGTTGCATGTGTATAAGTGTGCATGACTGCATGAGGTTCAAAGAGACTGAGTTTGTGGAGAAGTGAGGAATCTTGCTGATAAGTTAATTAGATGTTCCACAAAGAAAAGCCGAGCTTAGTTTATTTATTACTAACTGTATTTTTCTTTTCTTTGCTTTTTCCAGGAACACCCTACCTTTTTTTCCTCTTTGAAAAGTAGTACTTGGAATGGTCGGCACTTTTCCTTGGTGACAAAGAAGGCCCAGCACACAGAGCTGTCATGAATTCAGGTGATACAGCAAAATCAAAACTGGATATTCCTGGGAAATCCTGGACCTCTTGGAAAGTAAAAGTCTGCAACTTGGACACACCCACATAGGAAGAAACAATGCAGTTCTAAAAATCAAAATGGCTGAATGAAGATAGTGTATGCTATGGAAAACAGTTTGCAGTATGGCAATTTTTAAGTGGTGCGGATATAGCTGTCTTTGGGATTTTAGTTTTCACATTTTTACAGATCATTGGATTAAATAGACTTTTAAAAAATATTTTAATTATGTGGAAATTTTACAGAAGAGAGGACTTAGTCGACAAAGCTCACCAGCGAAAATTAATGATCGATTTAAGGCCACAAATGGCACTGCAGGAGGAGGAGCCAAAAGCTTTTGGGATCATCCTCCAAATCTAAAGGGAAATTAAGTTTCCATTGACTGGTTTTAAATGTGACTATCTTGCACATAACTGAGTATTTGAGAGGAGATAAATGCTCATTGATACTCATGAACTCACTATGCACTGGAGTCCTGATGTGGAAAAACAGAAAGAGGCCTCTACGCTCTACAGGTTCACTCGTTGTGAAAAATCAGTTGGACTTGACAAATGAATGTGATGTACCAAGGGAAAAGGCACATGTAATTTTGTTAATAAACTGCAAAAAAGAATTTAAAAACATAGAAAACAATATAAGTCTCTCTATGTTTGTGGGACTATTTCCCTTTACCTGTGGCAGCACTTCTTCACACTAAAACAAATCTGTTTAACAGTATGCTGCTCTGGACAGGGTGTCAGGGTGGCTCCCAACAGAGTTCAATGAATCTATGCCATTTTCTAATGAGGGAAAAAATTAAATCACAAATGTATAAACGTATATTTTGTAAACTTATATGCTTTCATGTATGAATGAATACATTTTTTCACTATGGTGATTTTATATGACTTCAAACAGATTACACTTTTTGACAAGTGCAGTTGAGGGATTATATATTGTGGCAGAGTTTGGTTCTGAGTTACTACTTGTATCACACTTGAACTGGATTTCAAAAAGCAGATGGAGTATTGGTAACCAGGACATTCAGATGATGAGAGGAAAGTTAGCAACACCAGGATGAGAATACTTGTATCAGACTTTGTCAATATACGTAATGCACACATTACATGTCCAGCAGCAGCAGCAGCAAGCAATTTTAACCACTGCCATCCATAGTGCTTTGAGTAAAAATGTTTCGATCAGCTTAGGGGTGAAAAAAACAAAACAAAAAAGCTGTCACAGGTCTCTGACATATGTGTTAATATAAACAAATGTCCCTAAAGTGACTAATTATCACGACACCTAAATAAATCTGAAATTATAAAGCTACAGTGCAAACTAGTATAATCTATTTATTCAAGATAAATGTCCATATTCTTAACATGAACTTTTTGAGTGGCAAACAGCAAAGATTCAGGACCTGTGTTAGAACAATACTGGGGGTTGCACTGGTGGGGGCATGTTTAAGGTACTACTGCACTAATATAATTGTGAAAATACAGTACAGCAAATGCAGGTGGTGTACCATATCATGTGGCAAAACGCTGTACAGGAAAGACAGGCTTTACAGTACAGTTACAAGCTGCATGTTTTGAAGTACTGCAACAAGACTGTGTGCTAGCCTTTGTTTGACTGGCCAGTGCAATGCCTTGTTGGATGACTGTGTCGTCATTCAGCAAACAGCCCTGTTCTGTTATGTTGGCATCCTTCCTGAAACACTATCCTGGCACCATTCAAATGAATGAAAGTCTTGTTTGCCCATGCAAAGCTAAAGTTGATTAGTCAACAACCTTGGCTGGCTAAAAAAAAGTGGACGAAAGAAAGCAGTTGCAAAGGTTATAAATTGCACACTTACATTTGCATTACCTACTTGTCAAATAAATCAGTTTGTGCCATAAACCAACAAAGCCTAAGACCTATGAGATTTAAGCCAGGAGTTGATCGATACAGCCTCAAAATTAGAGCTTTACCCATTAAACAATGTTTCATCATAATTACATAAACATCCATCCATCTTCTTTTATTGGTTATAACAATTAACCAATAGCTTTTACTTTTATTGTTACTCTCCTTTTGTCCATATCTGCTTAGTTTCAGGAAGATAAACACTTAAGCCATATCAACTCTCTCAAAGATATAATTCATGTGCTATCAAAGCAGAACTGGGGTGCTGCAGTCATTTCCTTGTTTCCTTGTTTCCTTTTATCCTTTTCGTTTGATTCCTACTGTCAAAAACAAATCCTTGGAAGAATGCCAAACAATAAATTAGGGTCTTCATTAAACACATCAAATCTAAATTACTATTCAATTAACAAGGCAGTCAACCTGAACTAATCAACCAATTAGGCTGTGTGTGTACACAGAAAAGCCAACAAAAGCGCACGAGTCCCCTGGGAAAGCTGTAAAACACTGCAGAAGAGTGACAGTACAAATGAGAAGAGACTTGTTTAGCAGGGAAAAGGAGGATGTGGAAGTGGCAGAAGGTAAATGTGGCACTAAGATGACTACGAACCCCATTCATCTCTGAGCAAAACAAATAAAATAATTAAAAATGGAATAAAGTGTCCAAAAAAAAAGAGTACCAAAGGAAATTTTAAAAAATGTGGATACCTACGAACTTACAAGATCTGCAACCGACTGTGTGTTTTGATTGGTATATTTTCAGGTGTTTCTAAGCAATATTTTTATTTCAGAAATGTGTTAAAAAATAAGGCATATTTATCTTCTGCACATACACATATTAACTGCTCATAATATCCATGTTAAGCTATGTTTTGTTAGTTTTATAATTTTTCATTAAATAAAAGTATCAATCCTGGAAGAGTGCTTTATCAAACAACTCGATAGTGTACATATTTACCAGTATATAGTGGTGCTCAATGACTGCACTGGCTCAGTCTTTTTATGGGGGACAGTATTTTAACATTTACTGACTTTAAATGAAGACTACTTGAAAACACAGTCGCACAACATTTGTCAGAAAGTGCAGAGAATCTGCTAAATTAACTGTGCTAATTGTGGCATTTATCTTTGCTGAGTGTTGTGACAAAGCTAAAAACTTTGTCATGTCACATTCAGTATTTTAGGTCTGGCAGTATGTCTGTGTTGAACGTACCTTTGGGCCACACCAAATGTGTTCTTCACTCACAGAATGCAACCTACAGGGAAACACACACAGACACACAATTACTTGTTTAAATACATATATACATATGGCAAGAGAGCAAGAAAGAATAAAGCCAAACCAAAGCAGGATTTGAATTCACGTTTTTAGCCAGTATCATTAGCTGACCATAAATATAAAAATATAAACACACAACACTGATAGAGATCTTTCTGATTTAAAAAAAATACAGGCAGGGACATTTCTACCCTTTTAACCCCTCACATCTAAATGTCTGCATCTGATGGTGCTTCACTACAGGCTAAAGGGGGTTGCAGAGAGGAGAACGCCATTATTGTACCAGTAAATGTCAGAACAACCCCATCTAATTGTGCCATTACTAATTCATGTTTATTAATGCAGTGATGTATGATGGCTCCACACACAGACTGAGTTTGTCTGTGCCTGTCATGTATGCGTTATTCTTTGCTGATGAGGGCTGTAGGGAGTGTGTTAGTGTTAGACTCAGTGGTGGCTGTGGGGGCAGATGGCGCATGTAGCGACAGTGCCAAGTGGTGTGTGACTTTAACATGACGGCAGAGCGGGTGAGGCGCTCGACTGGTGTCTTCTACTGGCCCAGTGCCAGGGCCCCCGGTCCCCAGTGCCCCGGCCCCTCACTACGCCAGAGCCTCTGGGCAAGTACCGCAGTTATTGTTTTCACTGCCAAGCAATTAGCAGCACTTAAGATTTATTTAGTCATGCTCTCATGTGTGGTAATTAGCTTGGGGCCCAAGCAAGCCTCGTCATCCAATCACCTATTTTGCTCACACCAAAGCAATGCATCCACAGGAGACAGTGAGGGAATGTGAGGGAAGATGCACGAGCTATAGAGGGTGGGAATGTGAAGGGAGGTGGAGCAGAGCTAGAAGGATTACAAGAGCACCAACCCAGCTCTCTGGATCAGCACTTTTTAAGAGATCTTCAGGGGCCTGTTGGCTGAACGCATAGCAGGAGGAAAGGGCAAACACAGCCCAGTTACACTTTTATGGAATGCTTTGTGGAAAAACACCCCTGACACACACCTCGGCATGGCAGCTCGGTTTGTCATATGGCCCAGGGGGCTCTGCTAGCCTATCACATGACCATTGTAATGACCTTAAAGGGCAGCTTCCTCAACAAGATCAGACCACTCCCACTGGCTGAATCGCTGTTTGGCAAATGCAGTTTGGGTCAGTGCATAATATGTGATGCATTTGGTCTTCAGGCTGGAATAAAAAAATATGTAGACACCTCACCAAATAGATTATGCAAAAGCTGACAAGCAGGGAAAAACAAAACAAAAAAATGACAAACAAACAAGTTTCCTTACTGTTGCTGATCCATAACCCTTTTGGGGAATTTACATAATATCAAACAGTATATAAATGCATGAGTTATGTCCTAAATTAGGTGCATGTGACTGGAGCAGCTACTCTAACAGCTTGAGGATTGAGGGGAATCAGTGCATAATACCTTATATTATCTACTTCAACAAGAAATAGTTTTCCCTTTTAAAACAGCCCAATGCAGAGTTTTATAACAGTAGCTCAGAGAATACATGTGAGCACATGAAAGTCAAAGGCAGGTTAAACTGCACATTCACATACATATGCACAAAGAAAACCCATCAATCCATGCTGGTTTTAGGTGATGGGAGGTAATTTGAATCACTAAACTTTAAAATACAGTTTGTGGGAAACTATAAGCTGTGTGTCACTGATCGTGGAAAAGCAGCACAAATTGCTGACGCAAGACTTCACAATCAAATTTTTTTGTTTAGTCTTTTACTGGTGGATCATTACAGAACTGGTTCTACGCACCACCTCAAATGGTCTTTTGTAGGACAGTTCAATTAGTGAAATATCACTTTCCACCTTTTTTTCCTCTGGGGGAACTGTGACACACCAAACCAATCAGAACCTCGCAAGCCAACCCCTGACCTTTTTCATCTCAATATGACTACCATTACAGTGCAGAAAATTAGAAGCGTCCCGCTATTGTTCAGTAGCGACGGGGGTGATGGAGGTTATTTAAAGATAAATGCTTTAGTGTTCATGATCCATGCTGCAATCACATGGATCACCACTAACACAGAGGAAAGGAGAAACACGTCTGCTAAAGCCCGGTGGCTGCAGGAGTGCACATGCGCACATAAGAGGCTATGTGCTGATGGATTCATGTTGATTGTTTAGTGGTGATGTAGCCCTGCATTCGCCTGGTAAACCCGTCTGTCGGCGTTAGAAAGGCGGGTTTAAGGGGATGCTTTTGTATTATTATGTAAGTATTCGTATGAACAGCATTAAATGCACAATTTAGAGGACAAATTTTGAAAGGAAACACTGATAGCTATATAGCCTTGATTTCAGTGGTCTCCATAGGCAACAGGATCACTGCTGGCTGTCTTATAAACATGAGTAGTGAGAGGGATAATATTCTCCTGGTAACAAAGCGATTAGATGGCAAATGCGAATGGAACTGATGTAAGACTGCAATGACATGATAGCACGATGTGGGTGTGAAAGGTAGCTGAGCATGTGTTAGCCTTTTTTTTGCACACTCTCCTGCAGCTAAACAATATTTACATTCATATCGTTCTTGTGCTGTTATAAAGGAGTACTTCTGTGGACTAGCAGTGTATGCAAAAACTAAAATCCAAGATGACAGTCTTTCTTTAAACCATGAAACATGTGACAAAATATGTACTAAGTATTAACTGTAGCAGCTAACTACATGTAGTAGTACAATTTTTTTCTCTCATTTAGCAAATTCTCTAAATGTATTCTATGAAAATAACTAGACTTAATATATAACTATTTTTTTACTGTTAACCCCACCCAATCAATTGCTATATTTAAAAATAATTTTAAATATAATTTAAAAAAACATGTAAATGAATCAAAATACAGCCCTACATATTAATGTGGCAGGCACTTGTTTCATATCCAACATTATGACTAGAGCTACAAAAGATGTTGCTCTTTTGAAAAGTAAAATAACCAGAACCTCATACGACTGAAAGAAAAACATGTTTAATATTTAGCTTAAATTAAACTTAACTATATCCAACTATTGAGAAGTGTGAACTGCAGACAAGGCTTGAAAAACAAAGGATTTTAAAACATGCATTAATTGGCTGACTTTATTTAGACTGGGTTTTTTTTGTTGTTGTTGTTTTTATTTTTTTACATCATTATTAAAATAAAATGTAAAAAATAAAGCAACAATTTGTTCTAATTGTCTACATCTGAGCTTGTTTTAGGATTGTCTCCGAATTCATTAGGAGTCTTTCGTGATTTACACACAAAAAGCAATGTTATCACTGTTCAAATAAGAGTCTGAAAGCAAATGACACCAGCGATTAAGGTTCTGTCCCATATTTCATAGTTTGTTCATCTTAAAATAATATTTTTTAAAAAGTATATTTTTAAATGTGCACTGTTTGTGGCAAGAGCAACACTGACCATGCGGGATTTCTGCTAAAGGACTTGGAAATGCTCTCCTGAATATCCTAAAACAGCAGGACCTCTGATTGTCTATCCAACATATGTCAAAGGAAGGATATTCTTTCAAAATAAATGAATATATTAATATTTTGTTCTTTTTTCACTTCCAACATTTGTTATTATCTATTATGATGCATGCATAATGCTAGAGAGGGTCACAGGATAGTCCTGCTTTAAATGTTATATTTCCATGATTGGTTTATTCTCTCCATTTCCTGTTCATTGTGTGCCAGCAAACTCCATTGTCTGTGGGTAGATTCTGCTCGGCCCTCAGAGGGGCCATCCCCAGGGAGCACTGCATCTTTTATTAATCAGGGGCGCTGCGCCACAGCCCCGCTTATCTAATTTAGCAGCCCGCCTCAGATACAACTATGTTCGGCTTGGTGTGGAAAGAAGGGACGGGGTTGTGGGGGTGCAGTTGGGTGTAGACAGAATGGGGGTTGGGGGTGCTTTCTTTTGGTTTTCTTTTTTTTTCCTTAGCATGGGTGATGCATGGAATGCTGTGAGGGAATGGGGGAGACAGAGGGGAGATAGAGACTTATCAGACACCTCGTCACCAAGTTTTAGGACTGAATCACAATACAGCAAATTACCTTCTGCTGACAAGAAAAAATGAGCATGGCCCCCATATGAAAAAATAGGATTGTCAGGAAGAGGTGACACATTGATTGCTTAGTATGCGCATCCAGAAGGCTGGGGTTCAGAGGCGTCCTCCCTATATATATGTAGAAGAGGTGCAGCAGTGCACAGCACAGCCATGAGGGAGAATGAGAAATTGAAATGCCATGTTAGATTGCCGTCCCTTCCTCAAGCCAATAACTCTAGTCTCGCCTAGTCTAGCCCATATTAGCCCGCCATATCATAGTACAGCCATGTGTGTTGCGATCGACCGGCAATCAAAGATCACAAAGGAGAAGTCAGTCTGGTGTTCACTAACACTGAAATGTACTGAATTCTGATTACGCACACAGAGTATGCACTCATGTAAACACAGGACAGAAACTTTACTTTATGTGTTTAATATTTTCTGGTTGTCCCTCATCTCTCCCCTCTCATCTGTGTCATAGCTCAGATGAATCAGTGTCACCGGTGTTGAGAGCACTTACTGTCAACCCTGGTGCCCCAGGCTACAGCACTGATGGACACAAACTATAAAATATCAGCCCCCTGGGGAGACATCACTCAAGCACTGCCCCACAGCCCCAAGGG